CATCCATTTTGATAATGCACTCATAATTCCAGTCTACTGACCTCCTTCATCTTCAGATTATATTAACCAGATCTCAAGCTATAACCAGACCAAACAATGTTGCAGTGGCAGTCACAACAACAGCCTGGTTCCATTTCACAGTATTTCAAATAGTCCAATAACCTCACTTTCAATGGATTAATCACAGACCTTTGTCGGAAAAAGGACCTTTCCAAATATAAATCACTACACTAAAGAAGAGGTATGACTACATTTGAAATGAGGGAAAAGAGAAACTCGGACAAACCTTTTAGAGAAAGGAGAGCATTTACTTTTAGAGAAAGGAGAGGACCTGAGGTTGCTGTATTAACTTGTTACTTGAAATAAATAAAAGACCTTAAGAAGGAGCAAAGCAATCGAGAAAACGGAGATCAGAGCAGAGGTGATAGAAACATTGGTGTTCCTAGTGAAGAATCCAGGAATGAGGTTCACCTGATGATGTAATGACAATGAAGCCATTTAGGATGACAAAAGGCGAGAAAGCTTACTGTACACAAGAACAAAAAATGCCACCAACCTATGCATTTACTTAAAGGTCAATCCTATTAAGTACTGCCAACAGAGATATACTAGATAAATATTTCCTAAGACTCTCTCTACCTTTTATCTATCACTGTAAGGACAGCCTGGAAGGAAATATCTGAACCATAATCCAAAGGAATTTTCAGAATCATAAAACCAACATAATAGAATTTATTATACCAAGGAACCCTTCAAAAAAGCTAGGTTGAATGTGAAGAAGGTACAAGAACTCATAATGATCACTTTTAATTTTTTCATTAAATATCTTTCTAAGGACACACAAGTAAGATCCATAGCACAATCCTAGCCTTAATCTCACTTTTATTTATCGCTACCACACTTAAAACCTAACCTCTGTGCACTGGGAACATTGTTATCCATAATTGCTGAATTATCTCAGACTGATTCTTCTGGGGAACTTAATAAAATATAGATTCTTTATCCCGACCCCAGAGTAAATGAAATGGAATTTTTAGAGATGGGACTTTGAAATACAGAGTAAGTTCTCAAAGAAATTCTTAAATACACTATAGTTTGGGAACCACTGTTTTAAATTTTGCGCTTGGAGAGAATATGTTCCCAGATGGGAGTCTAATCTGTACTTGTTCTTTAAGATCCAACTCAGGAGTTATCTTCTGCAGAAAGATTGTCCTGAACTCCCCGCTGTACTCCTCTACCAACTAAACCTGTATCCTGCTGTGACTATCTTCCTACCTTAGAATGCAAGCTCCATGACAGCAAAGACTTCGTCCAATGTATTATCGGAGATCTGTAGTATTTAGAATAACATGACACATGGTAGGTGCTCATAAATACATATGCAATGAAGGAATGAATAAATCCCTGCATAACACAAGATTCATAGAAAAACTGAGACTTATGTAACAGTACTGATTTCTTCCATAGGGAATTTAGTTCAGTTCAGTATTTACTATGTGCCTCCTATGAGTAAGGGGCACATAAAGATATTAAACTGAGAAGAACAGATACTACACTTGATCTTAGCCAAAAAGCCGAGAAGCGATAACACATAAAGATATTAAGACAAGGCATTAACTACTATCAAGGGGAAAAGAAAGACCTATGCAATAAAATTAGCTGTAATCCAGTTAAGCCTCAATAACGGGGACAGAAGAAACATGAAGTAAATTGCAAGGAGAGCACAAGGGTCCTTCCTCTCACCACTGATATGGGCAAGGCCCAGGCTAACGGACACAGGCTATCCACTTCATAGGAGAGAAAGGTGCTCATATATTATTATCTTGGATTTCCAATAGTATACAAGTAGAATAAATTGATTAATACACTTTCAGAATATAAGTATAGGCTAACCTGGCAGAGTAAATAAAATCCCCAAGTCTTTGAAAATCAAAATCATCTACAAATGTGACACAAAAGTATCATTTGTGTCCTGAGAAGAAAAACAATCTCTAATCATCTTTTCTTCTTTGTCATGTATTCCTCCTTCCCAAGCTTGTTTCTTTTTTTTCTGGTTCTGCCATTCAACTGAGGTGGGTGGGGTTATTCATGAATATAATGTCCTGCTTCTCTTGCAGCTAGTATAGAAGGATGCAGCTGCAAGATGCATAGTATGGATTTTAGAGCAAGTTATACCTGGGCTCTAATTCCAGTTCTACTGCTCACTTACTGGATGACCTTGGGCAAGTCTGCTTAACTTCTATGTGGCAGTTTCTTCATCTATAAAATGTTAATATTATCACTTACCTCACAGCATTGTAAAAACCAAACAAAATAATAAAGTATTGTGCTAGATCTTAGTACGTTATAGCAGTTACTACTATCATCATTATGCATTTTGGTGGACATAGATGATGTTTTAAAACTAATTTTAAAAAATACTTCATAGCATGTTCATCTTTGTGCTCAATATTGAGTTTGGTTGGTGATGGAGATACTGATGGCTACCTCCAGTGCTGGCCAAGGATGAACTGAGGACAGTGAATGGGGAAAAAAAAGAAAAAAGAAAAGCTTTGAATAATAATTATAAATGTAAAATGATATAACTATCGATGAGAAAAAGTCTATGTAGGAAAGTGAAAAGTTTATGCAAGTGGATTTGTGTCATTTCTTCATATCTGAACAAAGACTTTCAACAAATTTGTGGGTGACTAGTGTTCTTCATTCATCTAAAATTTACACCTCCAAATAGCCTACCCCTCAGTTCCCTTGAAAAACTATGATATCATTTGGTCTCCAACTTCATCTTGAAGAACACCCACAATTCTATGACCTTTTCCCCACTGGTACTACCTTACTTTGCAATCATTGGTTATGCTTTTGACTTGGTCAAAAAGTGAAATGAAAATGATAATGGTATTAAGAAAATAATGTAACATGTAGCCCTGGGCACCTGTACTAGGCTGGATGACACTGCCTTCCCAAGCCCCACACTTCAACACACGTGTATCAACCAGGGTAGTTTAGATATTTTCTCATTGCTTTTTTCTTTTTTTAATTGTGGTCCAATTTATTATTTTTGTCACTAAATACAACATTATTGAGGATTCACTGGATGCACAGTAAGAAAATATCCACAAAATGTGGATGGTACAGAAGACACAAGACTATAGAAGGAAGCTTCTGAAAGGTACAAGGATAATGTACTAAAATTCTTTACTAATTTGAAATGCACTTGGTTTCCTAGGCAGTAATAAACAACTACATTTTGCAGCTCATTTGGGAGACAAAGTCTGTAATTCCAGGCTCAGGAATTACATGAATGCCAGTCAATGCCATATTTGGACTATCTCATTTTATTATTATAAAATGTGGGGGATTTTAAGAGAACAATAAGAAAGGGGGTTTTCTTTCTCAAGTTCCTGAGACAGCACCTGCTGCCCACAGTGGCCCCTGTTTGCTGTAACTGCCGAGATGGAAGATTTTGCTTTTAAGCCATCATGCAAATTCAAGCACACCAAAGGGCAGTAGTACTGCCTTGTACATCAGATTCAGCACAGTGGGTTTTCTTGAGCCTTATTTGATCCGTTTCTAAAAGAATAGACAAACTTTTGGGAGTAATTACTCGAACTTGTGTCAATCTGCAAGATAAAAAGATATATATTTTGCTGTGTGTGAAGAATGACAGCAAATAGCACCCAGAACTAAATATAATTTCTAGTAAATATATAGAGAAAAATAATCCATAAACTTGATAAATGTTTTTCTATTTCGTTTCCTGAAAGCGCCAGGGCACCTTCACTCTTACCTACGTGCGTGCGTGCATGTGTGCGCGTGTGTATGCACACACTTTTACCTAGTATGTATGTGTGCAGGAGTGCACGTGTGTATACAGACACACAGACATACTCATAATTCATAATCTTTGAGGACTTGGTAGCTGGGCTGGAGACAGGGTCCTTCTTGAATGGTTTTGAAATTGTTAATGAACTTTTAGGCCACACTGGATTTGATCCTTATACCAGGAAAATCCCCAAGGATATATCAGAGCACACACGTACAATTCTGGGCATAATTTAAAGACAGATAGATTCAACAAACAACAGCTAGTGAGGTCTCCTCCTCACTGAAGGAAAAAGCACAGGCTGGTTTTACAGTGTGATTAGACTCTGTCACAGCTACAAGTGAGACTGGGAACTCTTCATTAGGGAGACCCCAGCAGCTGGTAATGCAGGCAGCGGTCTCAGAGCCAGGACAGATTCTCGTAGCATCAGACGCCTGAATCTGTTTGCTCAGTAAAGTCTACACCACTGCCCTCAAACCCCCTTCCAGGCTGTTCCTGAGGATACTTACATGAGATACACCATTTAATTCATGTTCTAACTTTATAACTTAACTCATTTGTAAAACACTCTGGACAAAGCTGATTAATGTAACAATAAAAGAATAACATTTTCCATTTAATGCAACTTTATAACATACATTCTTAAACTTCATGCTGCCCAGTACAGCAGTTGTATTTAATCTTATAATTCATGTGCATGAATGCACAGAGCTGCCATTTTTCAAACTAAAAATATTGGGAGTTCATTGTTTTTTGGATTATTTTAAGGCCTTTCAGTACAGCCACACTAAAACAGTAAGATCGACGCATGGTTTTGTCATCATGATAATAACAAGTCCTAGCTCACAATAGTATATATAGTACTTAGCTGGGACTAGGAGCAATGATAGACTGCTTTTTAGTCATTGCAAATAGTTTGCTTTTGTCTAGTTTAACTAGAAATTAGAAAGAGAAAAATATTTTTCATATATACAAAACATTCTATTTAATAAAGTATATGCACAAAATTATATATTAGGTAAGAAGCAAAATTAAAAAGAAAACAGCTTATAATATTCCTGATTAATCAGAGTTCCTAGATATAAAACCAATAAATGAAAATGTCTTGCAAGCTAAAAACAGCACATTTTATAACTTTTACACACTGCAGAGGAAATCAAGAGCTTGTGACACTGTTCTGAGGATTCTTTCATTTATAAAAATCGAAGGCCTAACTTTGCAAATACAGCTTTCAAGCTGTATGAGCAAACTGAACTTCCATGAAAGGCACAGGATGACATCACGTTAAAGAGCGTCTCTGTATATTTCATAAAATCCAGTCACAAGTCACTAGAAACTTCATAAGGAGTCTCAGAACTGTTTTGAACACGATGTTCTGGTTCAAACAGAGAACGGGAGAGTCTTCACGTCACACGTACAAATTGAAGGAGAGTGAAGAAGACAGAAGGGTTTCTGATTTGAATGCTACCTGCTCTATGCAGTGCTGGTTACTAACCACTCGGAGTGGATCATTAAAATTCTCTTTAACTCAAATTGTTTTCCATTTTCAACAGCGTATCTACTATATGTTTTAGTTTGTAAAAAAATGCATTTGCATATTACTACAATTTTAAAGAGTTAATCATTGAAAGGAATTTCAAAGTAAGATCCTGTCCTGTTAGCTTCCTACACTGGAATACAAGAATACGGGTAGTGCTTTCAACAGAAAGTTACACAGTTCTCCAGTACAGCCTGTCTCGAAGGCTTGCGAGGGACCAGTACCGTGACTTAGTCTCTTTGGATTGGGCAAAAGCAGAGGCAAATGAAGACATGAATTTTTAAAATAACATTAAAGAATGCCTTTACAACAATGAAACCTTGTTGCACTTCAATGTGGTGTTACTGAGAAGAACTGAGGCATGAGGCATAATGACACTAAGTGCACACAGGGAAATATCTGAAACGAAACCATTTCAATGTGCTTGAAACTCTTCAGCAGCAGATATGACTTACAATAGACTGGACGACTACTTTCTTATATTTCAAACACCAGCGATGAGCTAGTCAAAATATGTCTTATGGATAACATGGAGGGTGATATTAAAATAATGCTGCAACTGAAAATTCTAATTTAAAATAACATTTACAATTTTGATTTTTCACAAAATGACTGGCTCTTTTGCTCAAGTAAAATTAATTTCAACCCAAAAGCATGACCTTAAAGCTCTGCAGAATTGTTAGTTTAGGAAAGACGATAGAAGTTTTTCATCTTCCCAAACAAGCTCTACCAGAGATACAACCTGTCTCCATTTACGTCAGTATTAAATGTTCTTTCCGCAGAATTTAAAACATTTTGGTAGAATGCTGAAGATGGTTTTTCAGAGAGGGACTCGTCTAAGGGCGGCCAGGAGGAAACAGCGATGTCACGGGAAACAGCGCAGCCTGGCATTGCGGACGCTCCTTCCGGTCATCAGGACTCCAGCAATGCGTGCCATCTACACACCTGCTGTCCTTTCGACTCCTTCATTTCAGTCCAGTGGTTGAGCTCCTCTTCTCCAGAGCTGTTCAGACCTAGAGAAATCCAGCCTATCATCTCTTTTCTTTTCATGCTGCGTTTGTTATACACAGACAGGATGAGTGTCACATCAGAGAGCTGAAACAAGGCCACTTGAAAAACAAAAGTTTCCTTGTACACTGGATTGGGCTGCCCTCTGCGGATGGATGTCTTGCATTTAGACATTTCTTGACCCATGGAATTCAGGAGAGTTAATTTAACATATGTATCTATAGAAAAAAGACAACAACATACCACAAATATCATTTGAAACAAACTAAAAACATCCTTCTTGTAACATATGTTGAGAAGATTAAGTATCTGTATTTTATAAGGATATGGTGTATACCAGGTTTAATGGAATTTCAACTAATTCCATTTTGATGTAGATGCTTATAAAAATGTGACAGGTACAGAGAATGCTAAGTAGGCAGAAAGTCTTTTGGGGGTGCTAATATCTTAACCTCACTATTTCTACATTATAGTTAGTATTAAAGGTATACCTCATAATCCTTCCTCCACCCTCCCACCCATTCCTTGACCTCCCACGACCTCCCTCGGCCACCCTGCCCATCCCATCCCCATTTAGCTTCACTAAGCAGGACGTCATAGCATTAATAAACACTTAGCAAGCTCAATTAGCCACAACACTGTAAAGCATTCCACTGTGTTTTCAGAGAATAAGAATAAACAAACAAATAGAAATGAAGGCAAATGATAAAGAGGAAAAGAGGAAGACAAGAATGCAAAGATGACATCAAAACAGCTTAGGATGAAATGTCAAAAAAATCTCTGCATGGATGTGGTTTTTAATTATATTTTAAAACCAATTAATGGCCAAAATGAAGCCAAATGCATTAAGGGCTCAAAGTTCAGCAAATCAAGTAAACTTTCTCCTGGCTTCATGCAAGAGTACATTTAATGTGCTTTTTGGACAGTCAAAATAGATACTATCGGATTCCTTTTTGACACAATTCAATGTCAAATTTTAAGTATGGTATCTTAACTGTGTTCATGAATTATAAAGAAAACTGATGTGATGGTTAGTGTACAAAGTGAAACGTAAGAGTTCATTGCCTGGTTATTTGGGAGATAAACCCTCTCTTCAAACAACTGTGTTTTCAAGTTCTTTTGACTCATGCAAATGACCTTCAGCATGTTGATCCATCATGTGTACTTCATATCAAAATTTCAATTAATTTAATGAAAATTGTAGTATTTCTGATGAAGTAACTACTTCTGTTGTATGAATCAAAATACAATGAATGAAAAAATAAAACCTTTAATTTAAAAAGTTTTGCTTATTTTATACTCTGAACACCATCATCCATAATCAGAGATAAATTCCAAGTTAGTTTTATTTAAAGTACCACAGATAATAAATGTGCATTTTTGGAAACCAACATGGTGGACAGCTTCACTGCCGGCAAGTTTCAGGGTATTTTGTTTTTGCATGAAAAGACAACATCCAATTAGCCTCTACAGGAACTCACCTCGGATTATATAAACCTGTCCACCTATCAAGTGTTTTAGACAACAGAACAGTCCATCTGACAACAGGGGGTGGAAAGCAGTAAAAGAAATAATGACCAGATGTCAATTGTTGGGTGAAAGAGGGTCAAAGGTTAGAATTAAAGAGGAAACACTGTTCACTGGAGTGGAAGAACACAAAACTTCAGCATTTTAATTCAGGTAGAGGGTTGAACAAAAGGGTCGTTGGGTAAAATTCATGAAATGAGAATTTTTAAGGTCATTGTGTAATCTTAAACAAAAATTACACTGTTTTAAAGGGGGCATCTTTATAATGATATTCTTTGGTCTAAAGCACATTGAACATAGAATCATGCAAATTATCAGACTATAAAAGACTGAATAAAAGTCATTATAGGATCAGTATTATTATTATCCTAAATTTTTAAGTTTATCCATGCAATATTTAATATTTCAAATACTTTTATTACTCTCAATATAAAATTCAGTTATGAAAAATACAACAGAACTACCAAAAATTTTGCCCTTGAATATTGCTATTGTTTCTTTGGTTAAAAATTGGATTATTTGGCCTATAACACAGTTCAAAGCTTAGTACCTAGGTATATATGAAGGGTCACAATATCTTATATAATATATACAGTATAAGATGAACTGATACAACTGTCTTATATTTTACTTTATAAATACTCCATAGAAATAATTTTAATGTTGACATATTCAATGCACCTGAACACCCTGATACTGAAGATCTAACTGTAAAATAATGGAAATTTCTTTAACTTACTCTTTAAAACCGGAAAGATCTACTTTATATTGTGGATGCTAATCTCTCCACCTGTTTATTACCAGCCCCTGACTATCACGCTCCCTTCATTTTAGTTCTGATTAGTGCCTCTCTATTTCTATCAAAGTGGGTAGAACAAGGACAGAAAGGCAAACACATCATCCCATTCTGCTACTTTTTAGCATCTGAAGTTAAATATTTGTCAAAAAAATTAAACTATTAGCTAAAGCAAGAACAAGTGGCAAACTGTTAGCTTCTGGCTAAACGCAACCCCGAAAGTATCTTATCTGTTACAGCGTTAACAAACACTTTTTTTTTTTTTCCAATTTTATTTTTAATTTTATTTTTGTTACAGATGTTTCTTCTTTTTTACCCCATTGACACCCTCCTTCCCATCCCCGCCCCCCCATCCCCAGCTTTGTTGTCCACGTCCATTGGTTATGTGTACATGCATCTAAGTTCTGTGGACAACCCTCAGAAGAGGGGGTGGTGGGGGAGGGAAGAGATTAACAAACACTTTCCATCCGAATGTCTACATGCAGGATGGGCCCTCCCTTTGTCACAGGTCTTATCATGTTCCTTATCTTTCATCTACAAATTCTGCTCATTAAAGTTGCTTCTGAGAACATTAGGGTTTACATTCTAAGTGTGGATTAATGAAGATAACAAAGTAGCTCTTTATTCTAGTACTGTAACTATTTCTTTCCTTCCTCTGAATTTTTTGCTCTAAAAAGAGAATGGGGATGACAATAATTCCATCCTTCTTGTATGCACCTTTGTCCGATTTGAGTCTCACGATTACCCTGTGACAGAGTTTAATTTTATGTATAAGGAAACAGACTTGGGGGATTTAGGTCACTTGTCCAGTGGCAGAAATATAAACATAATTTTGGCCTTCCGACTTGTAATTTAGAGACAGATAAACTTCGTGATGTGTGTGAGAAGCCAGGTGTCCAGCATTACTTTGGGCAAACCAAACACGTATTTATGACTTTTCACTTTGATTGAAAAACATTTTTTAAGGACATTTAGAAGTTAATTTAATTCAAGGGCGGAAGAAGTTTTCCTCTCCTTCAAGAATTATTTGATACATGGAGTAAACGACTGCTTTAAGCAAGTCTGAGAGAAATTTAAAACAAATTAAAAGTGGCCATTTTGCCCTGGCCGGTTTGGCTCAGTGGTTAGAGCGTCGGCCTGCGGTCTGGAGAGACCCGGGTTCGGTTCCCGCTAAGGGCATGTACTTCGGTTGCAGTTTGTCCCTGGCCCTGGTTGGTCGTGCGGGTGGCAGCCACTCGATGTGTCCCTTCACGTCGATGTTTCTCTCTCTCTCTCCCTTCCTCTCTCTCCCTCCCACTCTATCTGTACAAAAAATGGAAAAATACCCTTGGGTGAGGATAAAAAATAAATAAATAAATAAAAATAAAAGTGGCCATTTTTATTCAAAATTTCCTTTCAAAGTTTTAGTTTAGGGCATTAACAGCTTTCATTTAGAGAAGTATAAAGAAGCTGCTATCTTCCCAGTTTGTTTCCATAGATATCAAGATACAGTTTGGGGCACATACTGGGTGACAATTTCTCTGTTCTCCCAGAACTTACCTGGAGCTGGGAGAGAGATGAGGAGGCGGAGTGAGAGGCACAGACACAGGGCAGAGGGGTACCATCTAGCTTTCCCTCCCTAGCATTTAGAGTAAATACCCAAATGGCCCTTATTCTGCGTGTCCTGGTAAAGCCAAAGCACATTCCATTTAAGAAAAGACTGGTGGCAGTGCTGATTTATAATTTTAAAGGAAGGAAAATGTGAAAAAACAAAACTAAACAGTTTCTTCTTAAACTGTTAAGGGAGAAAAGTATATATAGTTCGGCATGCAGACAGAGAAAACAATATTAATCTTTAGTTAACAACAATGACTACACATATTCCTGATCATATTTGTGGGGTACTGTTAACTTTAAAAGACCTTGTAACTTTTCCTGGCCTTAGGAGATAATGACTATGATAGGGAGAGTTTATTCCACTGACGTTAGAAAAATTAAGTCTTGACATCTTACAATTAGTATTTTGAATTTCTCATTTTCTACTTCCCAAATGACTGGAGATAGAAAACATGAAACAGAGGAGCTGATGGTTATAACACCATTTCATTTTGATCAGTTAAGACTAAATGATAGGATGGAAGCCCCTAACACTGAGCTTCCCATAAGTGCAGAAAACATTAGAATTAAAAAAACAAAACAAAACAAAACATTTTTCACTCACTGGGTGGTCTGTTTGCTGCCAAGTTTTTGAAGTGGCTGCCTTTTATGACTTCTGCCGAGAGTCTTCCAGTGGTGGCGTTATACAGCAGCCCGATGAGAATTTCTGGAACCGAGCCATGTTCAAGAGACTGACAGGAGGATGTACTTCTACTACAGGACACTTCTGACACGCTCATTTGGGAGTCACAGCCCTGTAATCAAAAGTGAAATCTTTATAGTACTTTGTGGAAAAAAAAACACTGTTAAAGCTGTGTTTATTGGAATTAGGCAGGTACATCACAACAAAGATAAAAGAGATGCAAACAAAATTCCCAAAACATTAGATTAGAAACGTTGTTTTGAGCATATTTTAGTCTCCAGATCTCTTTTCATTATACAGCAGTCAATGAAATGATAGGAGATGAGGTTTTATAAATCCCTGCATTTTTATATACAAATCAGAGAAGCTAAATTTCTTAAACTCTAGGTGTTAGTGAACTATTTTCTGAACGTAAAAAATTGTTGTTTAAAGACTTAATGACTTTAAAAGACTGACACAGATTTAGACTAAATTACATTAAATGTAAATGTTTTAACAATGTCTTTAAAGACAAAGACTGGCACACTTTCATTAAATAAGATAAAACAATCTTCTGTTTATAAATCAGCATGTAAAACACAGAGATACAGAAAGTTGAAAAGGATGGAAAAATATTAACTATGCAAATGGTAACCAAAGGAAAGTTGACATAGCTACATTAGTATCAGTCAAGGTTAGCTTTAAGGCAATAACCATTACTTAGAGATGAAGAGATGCACTCTATGATAAAACTTTCAATTTACCAGGAAGATAAAATAATTCCAAATTTGCATGCTTTGATAACATAGGTTCAAAATACAGAAATCAAAAACCACCAGGCCCAGAGTAACAAATTCACAACCAGTAGAGACTTCAGGACACTTGTTTCACTAACTGACCAAACATGCGAAGAAACAAATACAGTAAAAGTAGAAGATTTGAATATCACAATAAGGAAATTGACCTAATGGTAATATATAGAACACCAAACCTTAAAGAATATATATTTTTCTCAAGCTCACAGTGAAATTTTTTTAAAATATTTATAAAAAACAAAGCAAATAACAATGAATTTCAAATAATGGAAAGGAAAGCATTCACAATTTTTTTGTTGCTGTTAATCCTCACCTGAGGATATGTTTCCATTGATTTTTTTAGATAGAGTGGAAGAGAGAAAGGGAGAAAGAGGAGAGAGACACACATCAATTGGTTGCCTCCAGCACGTGCCTTGACTAGGGCCCAGGATCGAACCTGCAACCTAGGTATGTGCCTTTGACCAGGAATCAAACCTGCAACCCTTTGGTACGCAGGCTGACACTCTAAACACTAAGCAACATTGGCCAGGGCAAAATAATCTTTTTGATAAATAGTGGTAGGACAATTGGTTATCCACATAGAAGTAAACGAAAATCAACCCCTCCCTCAAATTATCAAAAATTCAATTCTGGATCTAACTGTAAAAGGTAAAATAAGAAATCTATACATTAACATAGGGAATTACAATCATGATTTCAGGGTAGGGAAAGAATTCCTACAGAGGATACAAAAGCATTAATCATAAAGAAAAAGTGTGGTGAATCTGTTAACATTAAAATTAAGAATTTCTCAGTTTCCACAGAAACTTCTAGGATAGTAAAAAGGCAAACAACCAAGGAGCGGAAGAGATCTGTAATACATTTAGTTCCATAATTAGCCCAAATCCAGAAAGTAAAGAACACCTATAAATCAATAAAAAAAAGACAATACAATATAACAACAGCCAGACACTTAAACCAGCAGTTTCATAAAAGAATGGCCAATAAATATATGAAAATGATGCTCAACTTCATTAGTAACCAGGGAAATGGAAATGAAAACCACAAAGCAGTGGGAACTCTCCAATTCCTCTAGGGTAAAGTGATACGGCTTCTAAAAATGTTAAAAATACACATACCTTATGACCCGGCAATTCACTCACATATATACCCATCGGAAATACATGCAATGTTCACCAAGTGACAAATGAAGGAATGTCCGTATCAGCACTATTTATCATGGTCCCAAACAATAGAATGGATAAATAATTTATGGTGAGTTCATACAACAAAGCAACTATACTGGATATACAGTATATACCCACTATACAGCAAAAAAGTAATTATAACATCATTTACAACCATGACTTTGACTGAAAAATGCTGAGCCTAAAAGGATACTTAGCTGTATAATTCAATTTACGTGAATTTCAACAACAAGAACAAAACCAACGGTGCTCCCGCTCTGGAGAGCAAGCTCACACCTTTCTTCCCTCTCAGGTGCGCATCTTCTGAACTCCAAGGGTCCCGAGACGACTTGTAACCAGGGGAGCAGTGGGCAGCAGCAGCTCCTCCGGGTCTAGCCCCCTGAACCTGTCTCCAGGGCCCCTTCCTCTGCCGTCCCAGTGAGCTGACCGCAGCCCACCTGGCTCACTTCCTCCCCACACGCTTCGCAGCCCAGAGCGGCCCCGCCCGGGCTCTCTGCTGCTGCTTCGATCCCAAGCCCTTCCTGTTTCCCTGTCCCCAGCTTTAAGAAAGGTACTCGCCAAACAAAAAACAAACAAACCAAAAACAGGCAAAACTAAGCCACAGTATTTCAGAGCCATGGATAGGTAGTAAAACTATAAAGAAAGCAAGAAAGTGATCAATATTAAAGTCAAAATTGTAGTTAACTCTGAGTCACTGGGAAGGGCAGTCGAGAGCTTCTGGGGTTACCGAGGTTTTCTTTCCTGACCTGGATGGTAGTCACATGGGGAATACATTTTTGTTCTTTACACTTTTCTAATGTGTGTTGGGTTTCAGAAGAAAAAAAGGTTTAATGAAAGAATTACATGATACAAGAATACAGTATATACAAATTAACATACAATGATAAAAATATATATTTAGAACTTTCTTGGAAGATTCCTAAAGGGATTCACTCCATAAGTTAAATAAAAAGACTGTAACACATTTTTAATAATAGACTGAAAAAATTTTAGATTAAAAAAATCTAAAAATGTTTTATATAAATCTTTACTTTTGAATCTAGTCTTGGCTATATAAGTGAAGAATTAATACATACCTGGGAACTGAATTAACTCACTGGACTACTATTCAGAGGAATAAAATCTTGTATTTTCACATTTAACTCTAAATCAGAGAAGAAAGCAACAAGGAATACACATCTTATACTTGTAAATCAGGGGTACACAAAACACACAGTTTGGGATGTTTTCATGACAGTTGGAGGAGAAAACAATTTTAGTAAGTTTCAATTAGGATATATCATCACTTATGAAAACAGTGTCAAAAACATGCTCGTGTGTATTTGGAGCACTGCGGCATTAGGCTATTCCACTAGCAGCATCTGCTAGAACACTGTGAAATACATTTTTCATAATACAGCATTTTTCACATTAACCTACTGTCAGATAATAAAACGTGAATCTAATATTTTCTTATCAACAAAGATGTCATATTGCCAATTTTGAGCAAGAAAGTGAGGTTCCAAGAAAGTCCTGGGAAAGGCCTTTCTTGTCCTCAAGATCAAGAAAAGAGCAAGAGTGAGAAGATCCTTGGCGATTGCGACCTGTTTTAAAGCCCTGCTGATATATAACAGTGCTTAACAGAAAGAACTATGGTCTACAAGAGTTCACTCTGGACTTCACCTGGGAAAGAGTGCTCATCCCTCGGTCTTCCCACTGCAGGCAGCGTCTAAGGAGACGGGCGAGCAGACCAAAGCCTGCAGAATGACTACATAAGCAGAGTAACTGCAGGGAAGACAAATTAAATACAGGTACCATATGGTCCCGTGGCACCTTTCCTATGCCTGTTCCTCAGGGCTGGCTGCTCCGTTTCGTGTGCACTCAGGAACCTACCTAATCTCTCTGCAGACCCCATCATTAATTTATAGCTGGGGTTTGCCTAGATGGCAGTAACTGCAGGTGATTAACCCAAAGTCAAACAAATCCCAATCATAATTAGGTCTACTTCAAGGAATAGTCCCACAGGCTCCCCAAAGTAAAACTTCTTCCCATCTAACACAATATATTTTTTTAATACTTCCTCTCCTTCCCCCTGAGTCCTTTGCCCTAGGGTGAAGGAGCATTGTGAGAAGCAGAAAAAAACTAATTGTTCAGAGAAATGAATAAAGCTCTATATACCGTTTACCATAAGAAGAATTAGTATGGTGCTAATAGGTTACAATTAGGTGGGAACTTACATAGAGAGAAAAACATAAGAACTGCTAGTAAATAAATGTGTGGACTTTTATTAACACTAAACTAATTCCTTCTTACTTGTAACCACTTATGCTCAATATTTTTTAAGGTAAAACTGAACTGTACAATGATAATGACTATACATTTGAATAGTTTCTGTTGAATTTATTTTCACTGTGGCTGGAAGATACTCTCTGGTTTTAAATTGATACATGAAATGCTTCCATCAGACTTTTCTGAAAATGGGGCGATGAGGACACAGAGGGTGCTGGAGTGTCACAGGGGGACGTCCCTGCAGAGCGGAGCTGCACTAATGGCGAGTTTCCTCTCCAACAGCTCGGCTCCTCCTCGGGGCCCTTTCCTAGCCCCAAGGCACTGAAATTCAGCAGGCTGGGTGAGGAGGAGATAACCAGAGGCAATTTCAGGCAAGAAAAAGTAAGAAGAGCCTAAAGGCTCTGAACCTTGTCCCCGTTCCCGCCCACTCCCTCCCCAATCTAGTGCGCAGGAGGGCCATTCTGCATTTTGGTAGGGTGAAAACAACAGACTCTCAAGGACAATTTATGGGGTGAGCAGGGGATGGCTGGATAATTTAAATTTCAGAGTGCAGTTGGATTCAGGATACTTGTGGTTGCAAACGACAGAATATTCCACTTTAACTGGCGCAAGCAACACCAGGGAATTCCACTGGCTTAAGGAACACAGCAGCTGGAACAGAGGTAGCTTCAGGTACTCACTGTCCAGGCCTCAACCTGTCCCCCTAGGAACTCACTGTCAGGTACTCACTGTCCAGGCCTTGATCTGTTCCCCTAGGAACCAGTTCTCCTCTGTTTCTCCAGTCTGGTTCCCAAACGTGGCTTTATTCTCAGGTAGACCTTGCCCTCCTAGCTGCCGCACAGTTCTTAGCAGCTGAGTGTTGT